GGAAAGAGTTCTGATGGGAAGGCTTACGTAATTACTGGAATGTGGAATCCTAATGCACCCATGTTTCTAGTGCTTAATGAGGAAACTCCTAAAGGTAATTTAGTCTTATTTGTAACTTTGTTTTTCCTGACATGGGTTTGGTGTATGTGTTTTCTCCTGGGAATAATGATGCATATATCGAGTACTTACACCACTGTGCTCCAGTGTTCTGTGTAAAATATTGAATATAGAACGTAAATAATTTTTCATAGAACTGCATATTGCTTATCTGGAGTTGTTAAATTAATGTTTGGGGCTTTTGTGCCTGTTCCTTGATTATCGGGACTTTTTGGTCCAAAGCATGCAGAAGTTGTTTTGTACCTTCTGTACTTAGCAGACCAGTATAAATGGTAGTCATTGCTATTCTCTTTCTTCTAGTTTTGAGGTGAGTTATTTGCAAATAGATTACATATTGTCTTTGTTTTAAAAAGTTACCAGGGTTCCGTGGCATACTGTTTAATGTATACTGTCATTCTCTGCAGCAGGCGTGTACAACTCAGATAAGTGGAATGGGTGCAATAGTAAAAATTACATAAAAAGTGTTTTCAGTTTGAACAACAGTTTACTTCTCTCATTCTTTTGAGAAATTTGAACTTTGACTAATTTTTCTGTATATGATTTATTTTTGTGTTCTAGATAAACGTGTATTCATGACTGTGGCAGTGGATATGGTTGTTACTGAAATAGTAGAGCCAGTTCGGTTTTTGCTGGAGACTGTTGTGCGTGTGTATCCTGCCAATGAACGTTTCTGGTACTTCAGCAGAAAAACCTTCACAGAAACTTTTTATATGAAGTTAAAACAGGTAATGCATGCTTGTGGGTTTGTTGTTGTTGGTTTTTTTGGGGTTTTTTTTGGGTTTTTTTTAAGAAAAGTTGGTGCTGGGAGCATTTTATTTGTCTGTCTGAATTTGGTTTTTACAGTGTGGCACCTGCACTTCAGTAGTTTTTTCTTTTAACTATTTATTTCTGAGGTGCTTAAATGCATAATGGTTAAGTACCATGTATAAATGTTCAATGCCTTTGTGTCATGGTTTAACCCCAGCTGGCAACTAGTCACCAGGCAGCTGCTCACTCACTCCCCACTGGTGGGATGGGAGAGAGAAGGGTAAATGTGAGAACCTGTGGGTTGAAGTAAAGACAATTTAATAAATAAGTGAAACAAAAGCAACACATGCAAGCAGAGCAGATCAAGGAATTCATTTACAGCTTCCCATCAGCAGGCACGTGTTCAGCCATCCCCAGGAGTGCAGGCCTACATCACATGTAAAGGTTACTTGGGAAGACAAATGCCATCACTCTAAAAGTGTTGTCCCGCCACCCCTTTCTTCTGTCACAGCTTCATATGCCGAGCATGACATCATATGGTCTGGGATATCCCTTTGGTCAGTGGGGGTCAGCTTTCCTGGCCGTGTCCTCTCCCAGCTTCTTGTGCACCCCCAGCCAGCTCGCTGGTAGGGTGGGGTGAGGTGGGAGGCAGAAAAAGCCTTGACCACATGTAAGGACTGGTGAGCTGTACTAAAACATCCCTGTGTTATCGATGCTGTTTCCAGCACAAATCCAAACATTGCCCCATAGTAGTTACTATGAAGAAAATGTATTAATTCTATCCCAGCTAAACCCAGCAGACTTTGTAAATTCAACCAAAATGAGTCATAAGTCATTGGCTTTGTGGGCTTAAACAATTTTCAACCTACCTCTTGAATTCTCCGTTATTTCATTCAATCTCACCTGTGTGCAGATATCTAAAGCAAGTCTATTTGACTGGTAAAATTGGGAAATGATTCTTTAATTGTTCACTGTAAAATCAGTTAATATCTAACAAAGGGAAATCCTGACTACTGAAGTCAAAATGTGAAGGTAAGTGGCTGTAAGAATATAATCCATTGAAGGCAAAGGAACCTAATGCAGAGGTTTAAAATTGTTAGACTATTACTATAATTTTTTTCAAACTACCTGAGAAAGTAGATTTCTCTGTGTTTTTAAAAGGAGAAGTTTGGAAGAAGATTATCTGGAAAAGGAAGTTCTGCAGCATGGAGAAGTTGCCAGGTTTTCACACTTGTTGCTGATGAGAGTATAAAATGAACTACATTCTTGTCCTTCATTGCCTCAGAGCTTTATGAAATGTGGGGCTAAAGGCATTACTGTTGCAATGATTTATTAAATTAGCATTGTTTGTGTGATTTCTTGCGTGTGATTGTAACCTTATGAAATACTCAAGTAGCAGGAAAGAAATAACCGTTTTTAGCAAACTGTTTTCTCTGAAGTATTTCAGTTTGTCAGTCCCTTGGAGTTTGGCTTTTAAGTCAAGTTGTACGAATGCTGCTGGATTCTGCGGGGTTGGGGGAGGAGGATGTGGGTAAGATGAAGCTTACTGCATAGTTGTGTATTCCCTTTGTTAGCTTTCCCAGTCCTGTGCTTGTGTGATTAACGTGCATTTATTTCTTCCTCAAGCACCGAGAGATGATATAGACATCTCATCTAGTAGTTTGTTGGATAGTTATCTGTTGAGTAGAAAGCTAAAGTTTCTTCCATTTTTGGCATTGGGTGAGGTACATAAAATATGTTTGTCTGCCGTTATCATTGTAGTATGATGTGCAACTGCATGCTCCTACAGTGCCTGTTGACCTGCTTTTACCAAAGACTTGTATTGTTGGTTCAAAAAGTGAACAGTAGAGTGTAACTGTACCATTTGCACTGGAATATAGTGGTCCATCATCTTTGACGAATGAAACCAAAGAGCACTGATTTAATTTTACTGAGTCTAATGTGACTATTTGAGTTGTCATCTTTGAATGGGGTAAAAAATAGATATGTTGATATTAGATGGTAAAAGTGCCACTGTTTAACGCTTTGAGTAAATAAATCTTATCCAATGCTGTTTCTGTATTTCTTCTAGAGATCCACACAGCAACTTAGAATTTAAGAAAATTTGAGAAAACGAACTGTTATATGAAAATGCTGAGAATATCTACATTTTGAATTTAAAGAAAATAGATTTGAAAACATCACATTCTCAGCTATTTGATACTTATGTGTAATCAGTTAAGCTTGCTTTTTAAATTACTTAAAACTGTACCATTTTGTAATTGGGTAATATGTCTGCTTTCTTTTATTCTTTCTCACCCCTTATAATGTGACAAACATACATGTGCCTCCCCTCCTTGAAGAAACACATGATTTTCTTCCTGCTGTAAAATTCTGAGGAGCTGTTCTGCAGATTTTTGGGAAAGGAATATTCTTAATATTTACAGTTTTTCAACAAGATTAGGTTCTGATTGCATGTTATGGGATCTCTCTGGTTGGCTTGCAGCAAGTCTTTAGTTACCTATTGTCAGTGGGGTAGTTTGTATTGCAATAGAATTTTCTGCTGATACGTCTGACAGACACTGTACCTCACTCTTACCGTTTAGAAAATAGCTTTGCAGATGGCATTGGGATCATTCACTTATGAACTTTTTGGGAAAGCAGTTGAGCATAAGTAGATTCTAGGGAATGGAACAGAATGTAACTAGGGGATGTAACAGTGGATTAATATCAAAAACCTCAGGTCCAAAGATAGATGGCTTCTCTGTCCAGGACAATGAAGCCTCTGGTGTATTTTCCTGGTAATGGAAAATCATGACAATAATGCTGTTGGTCATTGTGCAAATGTAGCGTGTTTGACTGTTGGTGATAAATTCATGTCCGCAGTCTGCCTAGTTCTGAGTGGTAGCATGCAGAGCCCTTGGCAGGAAACTTTAGACTTGGGCTGTCTCAGCAAGGTGCCCATTCCGGTAAGGAAGCATCCATTAATGTTGTTCCAAAAGAGAGCAAGCAATGAAATGATATTTCCTGCAAGGGGTAAATCAGACTGGTCTGTACTGGCAGAGGAAAATCAGAACTTCTCTGAGGAAGGATTCAGATAGATTTAATAGTCTGAACCGGGATTGGAGAAGTGAAGTCAGATATGAGCAATGACATAAATGCAGGATGCTGTCTGATTTAGGATTGTTGTATCGATCTTGCTGTGTTACTCGTGCACATTTTCATCATTAGAACATGATCCTTGTAGAGGTGGATTCCTGTAGACAGCAAATTTGTGCTTCTATTAAAAAAAAAAAAAAACTCAACCAAATTATTTTCATTCATAGATACAGGTTTTGCAGTTAACCAGAACATATGCAAGGAGCTGAAGACTTGTGATTCTTATAACATACAACAAAATCCATAGTACCTCATGCGTTACTTCCTCAAAAACAAAAGCTATAGGTACTGATGGTTAATAATATTAATGACATCAATACTTCGTTGAACCAAGTACTTTGTACTTACTTGATAATGGGGTTGTGTGAGAATAAAATAGGGATAGTGGCTCTGATATCATCCTGCTAAATGTCACAAAATGCAGGGTATTTCTGCCTGCACCCTGAAGTTCATTAAGCTCACTTCATGAGACGTTCAGTCAGCACAACTGGCTGATAGTTGGAGCCATCGCTTCCATGAAGTATCAGCTTTAAAGGAAGCAGATCTGAATGATTGCTCTAAAATACAGTAGTAAAGTCTTCTCAGTATTAAGTCATTTGTATTATGTAGTCTAAGCAGTCCCCATGTAAGATACTCATCTGTGTAATTTCACCAGCTGGTTGAAATTGCATTTGCTGGTTAGCAGTTCATGTGTATCTCCAGCAAAGGTGTCATGGAGCCTTCTAACTTTATAATAATTTTGTTTGTGTTTGTTTGTTTGTTTTCCCCAAAACATTTGAGTATTCTGTTACTGAAATGTTCTTTTTCTTTTTCATGGTTAATTGATGTTTTTAATACCTTCAAAAAATTCTTTTAACTGATTAGGCAAGATGCACAAAACCGAAATAGCACAACATTTTTGGGCTGATTCATTTAATATAATCATTAGTTTGCAGTTTTATACAATTCTCTACAAATATGTTTATCACTGTATGTCAATGAATAATAATAGTGTTCAGAACTGTAACTCAAAGGAGAAACTAATACTCCTTTTATTTTAAAATTGCAGCCTTGTATCCAGTGCTTAAAGTATAGGCAACTAACTTTTTTTCATGTGAAAGTCCATTGAACATGAAAGACTTAGGCTAAACTCTGAACTTTTCGACCCTGAAATAAAAAGAAAACAAACAAGTTCACCCTGCCCCACAACCTTCGAGGTAGTTTTACATTAAAGTACTGTGCTCGAATTTCCAAGTTAAATGAACTGTTAGATTGACAAATATTCAGGATTTGTACATAAGTGCACACACAGGCACATACATGCACATACATACAAGAAAGAAATAAAATATTATAGCTAGGTACAGCCAATACATTTCTCCATTGAAAGGAGTAGTACACTACAAGGGGCTTTTGACCATTCAGTGCTTTCAAAAGCATGAGATTTTGTTTCTTCTTTAGTCATGTTTTTACATATTAAAACCTCTTGCCATTGTTTCCCCCACACCTTTCCTGCCCCAGACATTTGATTCCTGTTTCTGTCATGTCAGTTACTCCAATATTTTTCTTGTTTGTGCTCTCCTCTTTTGCTGCAGTTTCTCTTTGACCTCATCTCATTATAGCTATTTAAATTGGAAAGCTTCTTTTATCACCATTCTGAACAATACTTAAAGTGGCTGTTAAGAGGCAGCAGTTTTATTTATATTTTCTACCTGTAAAACTTAGAGAAACAGAGCTGTCAATTACTGTTAGTCTACAGGTGCTATTGCAGAGGAATCTGAGGGACTCTTGCCCAAACAGTTGTTTAAGCCTTGGTAGATTTCTTTGTATGTGTTTGGGTCTGGTTTTGGCATGCTATTAGAACTGTATTTATCAACAATGGGGATCTAATACCTACATGTATTTTATTTTAGTCTGAAGGAAAAAGCCATACAAATGCTGGGGATGCAATTTATGAAGTTGTCAGTCTACAAAGAGAATCTGCAAGAGAGGAAGAATTGGTCAGCCCAGCAAGTGGAGGAGGGCCTGTATCATCCCAGGAGGATGAGGTAGAAGAAGGTAAGGATAAAAGATCACTTGTGCTTATTAGAAATACAGCTGCTTTGGACAAAAAGATCACACCTAACTTTCTGTTAGCAGTGGTTCTTCAGTAAAGGCATTTTTACAAACCAATTTGGAGTTCTTCACATTTACCAATTTGGAGTCCTTCCAGTAGCAGCAGCAGGCAATGCATGTCCATTTTAATGTGTGCTTCCATATGGGTTACTGATGCACTTGTGCTCTGGTAACAAGATAGAAAACCTTTTCTAGAGGCTTTTTTTTCTGATTGGAAGCCTTGAAAGTGCTGCTAAAGGACAGCATTGAAATGGGCTTTGAAACGGCAGGCTTTAAGGGTGTTTTTGCAAGGAAAAAAAAAATTCTCAGACTCGTATGGGGAATTTCCCCACCCCCAAACTGTCTGCTTAGCATGTGATTTGTTTTACCTCATTTATAATTAGGTCTTATCAGAGTATCTCCTGGTTCAGTTGGGCATTACATTGGGGATTGCTGCTGTTCATGGACCCAGCATATTAGTTCTTTCTGAAGCTAATAGTATCTCAGTGTCTTCCCCACTGGTGTTCTGTTGTTTGTTGTTTTTGTTTTTGTTTTTGTTTTTTTTTTTTGGGGGGGGGGGGGGGTGGGGATGTGGGGTTGTGTTAGTTGGTTTTTTGGTGGTGGTAGTTTTTGTTTGCTTGACTTTTGTTTTTCTGAAGGCCCTTGGCCTACTGTCATCTTTTTGTACTCTGAAGGTTAGCCTGTAGCATTCAGAATTCAGAGTAAACTTTCTGTGTGCCATTTTTGATCTGGGTATCTGACCAACCAGAACTTGTGATAGTTTTACAAAGTTATTCTTCAGATTTCTGGCACTGTTCTCTGAATACTATATAAAGGCTCACTTACAGAAGAAAAATTCCTTCTTGATTCTTACTTCTACATAAGTAGGTGGATATTAGTGTGTGCAACACAAATCAGAACCCTGTGATTAAAACAGTCAGGAGCAGGCAGGTATGATTATGTGGTTACTCTTTTCCACTTGCAAACAAAAAACCGGCTTATACCCAGGTGACACCAGGCTTGCAAAACCCACAGCCAGGTGCTCTCTGGTGAACTGAAAACCCTCTACTGATTCCTGGGAGGGAATGGGATGGGCATTGATTATTCCGTCCTTTGTATCAAGTACCACTTCTTAATAGTAAAATTACTATTTTCTCTAAGGGAGCTTTTAAATTTAATTGCTATTTGGGATTGCTTTACTGTTCATAGCAAGAATTATTTTAATTTGACCTTTGGGTCTTGTGGTTCAGTGTAGAGTAGTTTAACATCTGTGGGTGGTGTTCTCCTTGCTGGATGTTTGAGTTGTGTAGTCAGAATGTTTTCTGGAGCTTGTTTGGTAGGATAGGGTCCAAGTAATGACTTGACTATTTTTTTATATTGCTTCTTACTGGGAAGAGTAAAGCACTGTTCCAGAAGCTGATAAATGTAGCACAATTAATAATAATTTGGATATTGTCCTCTTGGTACTGTTATTTTGGCTTTACTTTATTATACAGGAAAAGTATTCCATTGGGGTATGAACCTAAGTTTAACTTTGGTTTAGCTTCCTGATGCTAGTTTGCATATTTTAAATGTAGATTACTTCCTAAGAGAAGACATTAAAAATATCATGATGTGACTCTGTTCTCATGGAAACTGCATTTAGAGTTATCTGCCTAGAAGTTATCTATCCTGGTGGATATACAGGTTAAATGAGTCATTTGCAGTTGTTCTAAATAAATCTCTTCATTCTTTTTCTTTCTTTTTCTTTTCAGGGTACTAATTATGATGATGGAAAAAAATCCCCTTGAGTTTACAATGTCTTGTCTTAGCCTTGGAAGAAGGCTTTTTGTTTTCTTTAATGTTAAGGATGGCTACCTGGCCATGTAGGGTTTTTTCCTGCTTGCAACCTGAGTAAGGCGGGTGTGCATTATAAGGACTTTACTATTTCATAGGCCAGACGCTGGTGTTCCCATTACAGATACTGAAGATTATTATCTGTTCTCTCTTATTTTTGTTATATCTTCATATATATCCTGCATGCCCACAGAATACTACCTAATTTACTTCAGAACACTATATATTGCAGTTTCATTTGTATAAGAATGCATGCTTCATCTGCACCTAGCCTGATTTCTGTGTACTCTTTGTGTGTGCATACACACAGCTCAGTGGGATGTCTTATGCCATGAGTATATGAATAAAGATGTTCGTAAGAAAGAAGGCATTTTTTCCAATATTCTTGTTTTTTGTTTTAATGAAGGGCCAAACATGATTCCTGCCCCCTGCAATAATGATTTAAAATAATTAGTATACTAGTTAGGTGTAGTTGCTTTCAAATGTGCAACTCTATATAAGAAATTGAGATATATTCCCTAAATAATATACTTAGCTTTTTAATAGTCTTTTCCCACTTTAGATTTATTTTTCATCTGAACAGCTATATAAAAAAATAAGACCTTTGCAAAGATTGTGCAGTTACGTAAAGTGAGGTTGACCTGAAAGATCTCTCCTTTTTTAAATTATTTATATTGTAATAGATATTTCTGGCAACCCAGTCATATAAGGTTCCTTGCTTTGGAGATAATAATTTTTAAAATACAGTTAATATTAATGATTTCTTGTCAAAACCTAGAATGTAAAATACGCTCCTTGATAAGAAGTTTTCTATTCCAGAATATAACTGTAAAATATTAAAATACATAATGAGGAAAATCTCTCACTTCCTGGAAAGGTTTCAGGTAAAGTGAGTTTAAGTATCAATTTTTATCAACAAGCAAAAAGGTCACTGTTAATATTTAATTTTGAGTAGAACCTTGTAACAAGGTGCAGAGCACAATTGGTTGAGCTAATCTTTCTTCTTTTTGCAGCATTAAGAGTAAGTGAGAACATGGAACAGAAGTGATGGTTGGTATACTGCATGAGTGAAAAAAGACAAAGCTGCACAAAGCATTTTTATTGTAGTGTCATTCTATGGCAGGATAAAGTGACCGGCTGCATGTGTGAGCCTGAGGATTGGAGAAATTTGATTTCCAGAGGCTTTTGCAAGGAGAATGCAGTCCTAGAAACAAGTAACAAAGGAGAAGGGGGAGAACAAGTTGTCTTCTTTTAGCAGCAGTGCTTGCTTAGACCATACGTGAAATGATGGCTTTCGTTTGGTGCTAATTTTTTAATACTTTTTTTTAATATAACATTTCAGGAGAATACTAAATAATGCCATTTGAGTTTCTTCTTGAATCAGAATAAAGTTAGAAGGTTAAGGATCACCGTAAGTGGGAGCAATTCTGTTTAAAAAGAGAAAGTAGTCTTAAAACTGATTGTAACTGAGTTGAAGATTTTTATTTTTATTTTTTCATGTGATCCTGAGTGTGTGGTTACTCACTCTTGTTCCAATCCATAAATTGCCTGCAGAGTAATCACAGGATGTTTAGCAGCCATTCTGAAACAGGTGATTCATGATAGGTAAAAGATAACATGCCTAGCAAGTCTCCAAAAAGAGTTTTCTGAGTGTGAGTTGCAGATTGCCTTTAGAACACTCTCAGATGACTTCCAGGAATGCAGAACTGTTTGTGTTTGCGTTTTTATTTACTGCAACAGTTGGTTTCATGATGATTTAGATACTACTTTTCCAACTGCTAGGAACTGAGCAGGGATGTAATTGACAGCATAGTGGATACTGATCCATAAACAGCGGTCTTAAATGACAAAGAATGCTGTTGAAATGTATTTGGTGTTTAATTATTGGCATTTAGTAAGAAGAAGTTAGGTTTAAGTATGAAGCTGTTAGGAGTAAGAGCAGGAAAAGAAAAGAAAAAACAATCTTAGGGTAAAACTATTTCTGTGTTCTCTCCAGCTGTCGTAACTCGTAGGAACAAAAAGAAAGGGATAAAATAGAAAAAAAATAGCGTAAGAGGTATGGAAATTCAGTGGGGAGATGGTGAAATTTGACAAGGAAGATAGTGATGAAAGGACCCTGAAAGCATCCAAAAAATCTGAGTGTACTGCACAGCACAAAAAATGGTGCATACAGTAGATAAGGAGTGAGCAATACTAAATGATCGAAGATGATCAGCCAGACTAAATCAGGATACTGTGTCAAATGTTGTGGGTGGGCAGAGGCTGTTTACAGGATTCAGAAAAGCAAAACAGTAAAGGAAGTGGTGATACAGGAGTCAACAGTGATATTGAGAATGTTTTGTGATAAAATAGGGGTTTACAATGAGGGATAATGTGAATAAATAAGGATGACTTAGTGAGAAGAATGACATTGGTAGTGTGGAAATAGTTAACTCTGCATTTTTATCTGAATTAAAAATAACTTGATGTAACTCATAGGAACTGTCTGTTACGTTAACCCTGTACAGAATAATGTTGGTGGGTCCTAACCATGATCAGATAAATCTGTATGGGAGTCTTTTTGCCATCTCCATTAAAAATGAACTAAAATGTTATAAATCTAAACTCATGAGGTCATTTGGCTAGTGGCTGTTTTCAGACAAGAACTGTTTGCTGCAGTTCCATAATTGCCAAGATGAGTTTTAAAATATAAGCACTTCTGAAGAATGCAAATCTGTAGCTTCCAAATGAAAAGAAAGTATTCCTGATGAGCCTGTTGTCATTTTATGGATTCTCGCACTGGATTATTTTCATGTCTTACAAGTTAACTTTTGTTACTAAAAATCATGGAATAAATGCACTCAGTTGACTTCTGCAGCTATTACTGTGCTGCCAGAAAGAATACGATCCCTTCCTCAGTATATAAAACCAAATATATTGAGTGCAGAAGACTTTTTTAATATGTGCAGAATGGTAGCAGTTGTTGATAGTTACAGTTGTATTTAAGTTTGGTCGTGCAAGTGTGGCCTTTCTGTTAAAAGGCAAGTGTTTGAAATGTTTGGAATTGGAAGCACTTCTGTGGGTTACGAAGTATTTAATGTAATTGCAGGGTTGTAAAAGAAATGGAAACTTGGAGAGTTTTAATTTTG